TACTGATCCAAAAAGAAAACCACGAATAGAGAATACTTTTCCATTATCAGAAGGCTGCCATCAATAACAAGAAAATGGTCCATAGTGTAAATCGCTTACTAAAGCACCTTTATTTAAAAGAGTAACAGGAATACAACGGGTTTTTGACATTAGGAATGAATTTAATATTGGTTCTTTTAAGATTTTAAATTTATATATTTATATTAAAATTTATAAAAGGATCGGCAATTAATCAGTTCGAGATTCACCAAACATTATACCTATCCATATAAGGGCACAAGTGTTGAGAACCAATTACTATTAAGCTCATAGGAAAACCATCTATAAGAACATCTAGAAAAAGTTACTATGTTCTGATAGGATTATTATTATTATTATTATTGCAAACGTTTTTAATTCTATGTTAAACCAAACCTTTTTATTATTATTATTCATTAATTATTCACGTTATTTAATGGAGACATTAATGTTTAGTATGATGCTTTTTGTTTCAATTACAATTTTAAAACACCATTAACCAATTTAAATAAAATACCTGGTTACAATTTACCCTATTCCTCTTCTAAAGGTTATTTTCACGCCGTTCTACTGTTCTTGGAAATTGTCCTTTGTTACTATTGGATTAATTATCCTGTGTTGACCATTCCCGATTTATTTGCTAATAATATATACTAATATTAACTATGATGGAAAATATATTTATTTGTGAAACTTCTGATTACCCAGAAATGACCTCAGAGAGAGGAGGTAATTCGTCACCATAATATTCTTTTATTTCGTTTTTATTAGATAGTTTTATTATTATTACCAACTCTACCATTTTTCGTAAGAATCAGTTATTTTTTTTTTTTGTTTATTCTGTGACCACATACAATTCAATTAATTACCTCATGGTAATAGAAGGAAAGCATTTAAAAAAAGCTACCAGTATTTATTTAGCCTGCTAAATTCAGATGATCAATATATTGTTACTTAATGGGGAATCAAGCAATTTTTATCAACAATGGGAACATAAACGTATTGTGAAATTCCTATTCTTTAAATACAATAATAATAAATTATTTAAATAAAATTATGTAATTTTTTTTATCGCGTTATATAATAACAAATAATGACACTGACTAAGGGTATTAGTATAGAACATTCTGGGTACATTTTCAATCGATTATAAATATAAGATGTGAATATTTTAATAATTTTTAAAAAAATCTTTTTTTTCTTAAAAAAATTTTTTCCTCCAATTTTTTTTTTATAAACTTCTTTTTCCTCCAAATTTTTAAAAAATTTTTTTTAAAAATATTATTTTTTAAAACATGACTTCCTCTGTATCAAAAGGTCGCGAATTAGAAGTAGCAGTTGTCAACAAATTAAGGGATGCGGGGATTGAGTGCGAGCATATTGGGTGAGTGTTTTTCACAGAGTTATTTTGTCGAGTTCTTTGATGATGACACATTATACTCATTATTATTGTTTATTGTTTATTGTTTATTGTTTATATATTATACAGTGGGCCGGGCGACATGGGAATCGATATTAAAGGAGTTGCCTGCGGCATCCCATTTGTTGTTCAATGTAAAAATTGGAGAAAGAATATAGGTATTATATCAATTATATATGCGAATCACATTAATTAAATAACTTTCAATTAATTAATATCAAACATTTGCAGGTCGCCCGACGGTGTACGAATTGGAGGGTTTCTCCTGAGGCAGACAAAGGAGACAATCGGCGTCGTGGTGAGCCGATCGAAGGAAGATGGTTTCACGCACGGTGCGTGGTATACATCTAAAGCGTCGGTATTGTTCACACGGATGCGGCTCATATTATAGAGGATCTGGCAATTTTAGTCGCTGGTCGACTAAAAGCCAGAGACAATAAATTATTTTTTTTATTTTTATTTTTATTATCTTTCTTGTATATAATTTTATTATTTTTTTTTCTTTGTATATAATTTGATCGTAAGCCCATCCGTGAGAACACTATCTTATATCGACGTTTTATCTGATTCTTTCCCCGTTCATTTCTTGTATATAATTTTTTTTTTCCTTGTATATTTTTTTTTTCTTGTATATATTTTTTTTTTCTTGTATATATTTTTATTTCTTAGTTACATAAATAGTTATTTCTTTGGTATTTTATTTTTTATTTTGATTATATAAATGGTGCTTTATTAAAAAAACATCACATCGTGGTTACATGATACAAATACAAATAATTATTCCTTTGGTATTTATATGGTCGATCACTTAACCCATGTAAAAAAAAAATCGTACGTATTAGTATTCAACGATCAATATTAATATATTATAACCAGTGTTGGAAATTTTATGCCGGGGTTTGTGTTACATAATAAATGCGCACATTTTTATGATCATCAAAGAAATTTTTTAATTAAACAAATAAATAAAATAAATTTTTTAATTACAGTATATAAATAAATAAAATAATATTTTAATA